ACTCCTACTCCTACTACTACTACTACTACTACTACTACGACTACTACTACTACTACTACTGCTGCTACTACTACTACTACTAAAACTACGAACGCTAATATTACTATTACTACGACTACTAATACTACTTCTACTCCTACTCCTACTACTACTACTACTACTACTACTACTACTACTACTACTACTACTACTACTGCTACCACTACTACCACTATTACGACTACCACTACTACTATTCCTACTAATCCTACTGCTCCTACTACTCCTACTACTCCTACTCTTATTCCTACTTCTCCTACTCCTGCTTCTCCTCACCCTGCTCATGCTCCTCCACATCCTCGACACCATCATCATCGTCATCATCAGCAGTATCAGCATCACATCACCACCACCATTATCAGCATCATCAGCAGCATCACCATCATCATCTGCAGCAGCATCCTAATCATCATCAGCATCATCATCACCCTCTTCCTCTCCCTCTGCCTCCTACTTGCTCCCCGCATAAGCATCACCATCAGAATCATCATCAGCATCAGCATCATCATCAGCAGCAGCATCATCAGCATCATGATCATCAGCATCCCCCTCTTCCTCTTCCTCATCCTCCTCCTCCTGGTCCGTCTTCTCTGCGCTCTGCGTTCCTCCACGCTGTGTCCCGTGTAACACAAGACGCCCACGATCTATCTGCTCCTCCTTCTCCTCCTCATCCTCCTCATCATCATCATCATCATACACCTCCTCCCCAGAGCCCGAGCCGAACATCCCCTGGGTTGGGCATCTAAGGAAGGCCTCTCAGGGGGCCCGCCTCCACAGCCTCATGCTGCCTCCTGGCGGCCCCACCCGGGCCCGTCCTGGGGGCCCCGGGCTCGTGTGGTGCAGCGCGCCCTGGCACGCGCTTGGCCAGGGCGGTCTCCACACCAACCCAGGGCCGAGGACTCAGAGGAGCAAGAGCTCACGATAATGATACGTTCCAAGATGTCCAGGATTTCCCAGATTTCCTGATGCTCCACAGGGGCTGCAAAAACGAGGGCCGCCAGCTACTCTGGAGATCCTCAAACGCATCGCGTGCCAGTCTTGCCATGGCATCACTCCCGTCCTCAGGATGTGCGCGGCCAGGGTCGTTGATGGTGTGTATCCAGCTACCCCAGTTCCACACATTGTTTTTTGGGGCCCGAGCGGCACCGCCGCCAGAGCGGCAACGCCCCTCTCGGCGGCTCGGTGCCCGGTGCTGTCCGCGCGCGGCTGTGCCCCCTGGCCGCCTCGGCGCCCCGGGCTCGACACCGAGGGGCTCTGCCGTGCGTCTGGTGGCGGCTCGTGCCGTCGGCCTGGCCTGCCGCAAGAAGAGGGGGACGACGACGACGACGACGACGACGACGACGACGACGACGACGACGACGACGACGACGACGACGACGACGACGACGACGACGACGACGACGGCGGCGACGGCGACGACGGCGACGACGGCGACGACGGCGACGACGACGACGACGACCACGGGGTACCAGTCCCTCGACGCAGGGGAAAGGGCGCCCCGCTGCCGGAGCGCGGGCGGGGCCCTTCCCTGGGCGTCTCTCCCCACCGCCTCGTCTTCCTCCTCCTCCTCCTCCTTTTCTTCCTCCTCCTCCTCCTCGTCTTCCTCCTCCTCCTTCCTGCTCTTCCTCCTCCTCCTCCTCCTCGCATCGGCGGCGCATCGCAGATGCACCGGCGATGCGGCGCGATCCTCCGAACCCACCACCCCACCTACTTCGGGGGCGGAAAAGAGGGGGTGATGACTAGGGGGGGGGGATATCATGGCGGGGGCCATGATATTTCCCCAGATTGCATGGCGCCTCTCCTTATTTCATTACGTCCATGGCCCCCACGTTGGGCCGCGCACATGCCGCTGGTCATGCTTTGCGCCCCCCCCTCTTGGACACCCCCCTCTTGGCCGCTCCCGACACCTCCATCCATGCTGGGCCTCCCCTGCCGCAGGCTCGCGCAATGGCATCATCACGACGGGTGGCTTGGGGTAGCTTCTCCGCGCCTCTGGGAGGGGGCCCCGGCACCGTCAAAAAACGGCTCGGGATGGAAAGCCGGTCCGGACAAGTGGGTCAAGGGTCTTTTGACTTGCCGCAGGACCCTCAGGCCCGAGCGTTGCAGCGTTTTCACACAGGGCGTTTTCGCCCAGATTCTGGCCCGGGGACCATCACAGATCGATTACAGGCTCGAAAACATGGCGCATCAAAATTGTGTCCAGGGCTCCGGTCGTGATGTTTCGGTCTGTTGCGAGTCTTTCGCATCGTCGGATCGCAGGAGAGGGGGGACGGGGATCGAGAATCAAAGGTGTTCGGACGTTTTCGGAGGTTTTCGGGTCCTGGGGTGCTCTCCGTCAGCTGCGCCTCGTCGACAGGCGTCTCGAGGTTCCAAGGTCGTCCCGAACGGCCGCTCGAGGTCCGAGTTTTAGACCGAAATCTGGTCGGCATGAGGGTTCGAGGACCGATGATCCGAGGCTCTCGTTTGGCTTCGCCCTTTTTTCGTCCATCAGGGGGCGTCCTCGTCGCCACCGCTGGGTCCGCCTCGAAGTTTTGGTCAGGATGCACCCCAGAAGAGGGGGGAGGAGGTTCGATGTGACTGTAGCCATTTTGGCTCAAGGCTGAAAACCCGTGTCGCGAGGGTTTCAACCTTAGGTTTCCGCTGTGCGCGACAACCACCGAGGGGGCGTCCAGACGCATTGCCTTACACTCCTGTCGGGGGCTCTTCGCTTCACTTGCATCCTTCGTATCAGATAGGCGCGAACGATGAATAGAGAAGATGGAGGTCGGCTGGCCACTAAGATCGAGGCCGCGCCCCCGTTCCCCTCGCAGGAGCGTCCACCAGCTCGAGGCGCAGCGAAGTCCGCAGCAACACGGAGGAGCCGCAGCCGCATCCGTGATGGTCAAGCTGGCCCTTACCTTGCTCCTCCTGCTGCCGATAATGCTGATCATGATGATTTCGAGGACCCGATGGGCGACCCCGAGCTGCGCCAGTACGTTGATGACAACAAGGCCGCGCTGTTCGCAGCCATCGCCGCAGTCCAAAATTGACTTTCTTCCTTGGCTACGACGGTGCAGCCCTCATGGCAGGGTCTCTCTCTCTCTCTCGTAAAATGGAAGGCCGCATGCTCGGCGTTGAGGCCGTCAGCGAAATCTCCAATTCCCGCGTGCACGTGCTCGAGAAGAAGGTTGAGCAGATGCAGGCGATCTTTGGCATCATGCAGACGGAGGCTCCTCCTGCACGAGCTTCTCCTCAGCCCGCGAGCTTCGACAGGACGCTCGACCCCTCAGGCATCGCAAGCCGTACTAAGGAAAACGTTGACAAGCGTGGGTTGGTTGCTCCTCTTCGGGATTGGCTCCGGAGGGTGGTCCTGGCCGACGACGACATACAGGTGGAGTCCGAGCTCGTGGCCAAGAGGTTCCTCATCAGAGTCACGCGTTCGACCACACATGCTTCAAGAGAAGTGGGAGTGGTGTTGTCAGCTCTTCGCACGGGCCCACAGTCTTGTGAGCGGTTCAGGGTCAACGATGTGGAAAGCATTCCAACGGAAATTCACGTGTCGGCGGACAGATCGCCGCGCCAGCCAAAACAAGGAACGCATTCTCACACAACGCCGCTGGGCGGTTGAGGAGGAACACCTGGCTTCGAGATGCGTCGGGTTTTTAAGAGCGAGATGATCCCTCTATTGCGTGGAAACCGATCTTGCGAGTGGAACACACACACAGAGCGACGTGCCGCAGGTCGGGTGGGCGATGGAGATCATCATGGCGCTCGGTTTCGGCCGCCAGAGGATACAGGCCCACATCCAGACGTTCCTCAGCGGCCCCATCCAGCCGCAGTGGAGCAGGTAACACGCTGTCTAGACAGTGGAAGGGGCTCTCCCCCGTCCTCTTCCCCTTTCTCTTGCTACGTGGAAGCCAGATCCTTATGTCATAACTTTCTTGTCGGTCCCGCAAGCTCGCCCACCTCTTCAAGCTGCTCGTGCCTAGCGCCATCGCTAGTGTTCAGGAAGCCCGAGGGCCCCCTCATGAACTTCCAGATTCCCTGACCAGCTTCGTAGGCCTGCTCAAGCTTGCCATTCCTTTTCCCTGCTCTGCCCTACCCCGTTGGTGGCGCCATCACCCTCCTCCCCGAGTTCACAAATAGCCACCCCCAGGGCTCGATAGAGATTATCCTTGAGGAGCTCATCGTGCAAAGTAGAACTCGCCAAATACAACATCCATAATCCCAGACTGAACTCCAGGGCCAGGCACGTCACCCTCACGATTATCTCTAGGGACCGTCGTCGAGTCCAGGAAGCACCTCATCAGATCGCTCTCGTCCTCCAGGGGGATTTCAACGTTCCGGCTTACCCTTCTGCTCCCGCGGCCTCCTTGGACTACGCTGGGCCTGGGGTTCCTGGGGACTCGCATGGCGCGGCCAACGCCACGGAGAATAGGCGAGGTACTTCCAGTCGCTCGTCGAGTTCTCGGCGGTGGAGCCCACCCGCTTCTGCGTTGCCAGCAGTGCCCCGTCCATTTTGCACCGGATGCTCACGCCTCCACCAGCCTGGGACGCCGACGCGCGACCTCGTTGTCCGGGGGGGGGGGGCAGGCCTCCCGTGGCACAGAGTTGCTGGCAGCTGTCATGCTTGCTTGCCCAGATGTGCCCAAGCTGGGGTCGACGACTAGGCCGCCGAGGAGCCAGCGCGCCCTGGAAGGTCGATCGAAGGCGACGCCGAGCCGGCCCAGGCTTCCCGAGGCCCGCTTTGTGCGGGTGGGGGATGCACCAGCTTGTGGGGCGGGGGAGCGGGGACACAGCGGCTTTCCGCCTCTTAGTGCTTCCTTCATATGCCCGGCATGGGCACACGATACAGTTGCGGCCCTCGACGTTGTGCCGCCGGCCCGCGCTGCGCCGCATTGGGGCCCCCCTTGAATCCGGAGTCCGAGGGGGCCCCGCCGAGGGCTGGCGAGTGCGACGCGGGCGTCGAGCTAGACCGGGCAATCTGGAGGGACCTCAGCCCTCTGCTGGAGAGGCTGCAGCGGCTCCCGGCAGAACGATCCCTCCGGCGCTTCGCGCACCCGATTTTGCGGAGGCCTTCGGCCAGGCTGCCCAGGCCATGGGGGCGCAAGCTGTTCCATGCCAGGCTCGGCACAGCGGGGCATCGATCGACGCCGCAACGCGGCGCCGATCCCTGCGAAGCGGGGCGGATGGTGCTCAGACAAGTCAGTGACGCAGCGCGAGAAGCACGCCTGCCCGACGCAGACGTGGACGAGCCAATCACCCCAGCTCAGGGCGCACCTTGGTTGGTGCATCGAGACGCTCGCTGACAGCATCCTGCACGGCGTCGCCACGTCTCGGCACCCTTTGCGTTAGAGCAGGACGGACATCGGGCCGAGATCCTCGTCTTTGGGCCGACTGCAGAGCGGCTTGCGGTGGCCCTTCGCCGCCAGGGATGTGAGAGTCGCGGCAGCAGTTGTGAGTCTCTCTCGCTCCGTTCCGTCCTGCGTTTCATCTCGATGACCCAGTGCTCTCGAGTCCTGGGTGCGTTCTTAGACTCCAGCTCCAGCTTCGATGGGCCCACGGTGAGCCGTCTGGTTGATGTGCATTGTCGGCAGGTTGCGCCGCGCCTATGCGCGCACTATCCAGACCTCCTGTCATCACTTGACGGCGACCACGCGACATATCAATGATGATTTTTTCTATGCGAAGTGTCAGTCGCGCGGCAATGGAGGCGCACCCCAGGATTTGTTTTAGTGTGGTGCTTTCGGCTTGGCGCCTGTGGATACAAACCGATTCACCAGGCAGCGCTGCGGAACGCACTCATTGCGAGGCTTCCGGCATCCGCCCCAGCGCCACAATTCGACATCAGGAAGCTATTTCCGCTCGCCATCTGCGACGCGGTTGCCTTTTTCCCCTCGGTTCTTTGCCTCGGCCCATCTACCTACAAGTGCGAGCGGTTCCTCATTTGGGAACCGAACCATCTGGGGCATCGAGGTCGACCGGGCTGCCCCGAGACCAACGGCCCGCCTCGGCCGCTTGCACATCAGATCTGATAGCCAGCGCTGGCGCCCAGCGCGCTGTGACGCAGATTGCGCCAGACTGCATAGAAAGTCATCCGCAGGAAGAGCTTCGACGTCGATCCTATACATCCAGCGCGTGGCCCCTGGGAACCCAGCCACGCGGGTGTCCCCAGCGTCCTGGCAGACTGTCCAGCCGCCTCGAGACAGCTGGAGGACGGCTGGAGACAGAGACAGCGGCGGCCCTCCCCCCCGGCCCAGATCCGCTCAGAGTCGGCCCCGGGCCCCTCCCGGAGCCCATCCTCACCCGATGCCACCCGACTCCCAAAGCGACTCCCGCCGCAAAGACCGCAAAAGGCGCCGACGAGGGAGTCGGGGGTGGACAGAGCCCCCAACAGTGACGCGTCGACTAGTGAGTTGTCCGTTTTCGGCTCGAGAGGGCGCCGTGGCCGTTGTTGTCCATGCTTGCGCCCGCCAGGTTTGGGCCTCAGGCCGTTGTCACTAAACCACGTCTTACTAAAGGGGGGCCTGTCCATCCCCGAGGGAGGGCCGCCGCTGTCTCGACCGGGAGGCGCCCCCCGACGGCGGCAGAGCTCCTCTCGCGCCGCCCTTCGTCCGCCAGCCTTCGCCTGCGCGCGAGAGTGGCCCGCTCGGCAGAACGACCCTCGGCGCGCCGGCCTTCGCAGACCGAGGAGGAGGAGGAGGAGGAGGAGGAGGAGGAGGAGGAGGCGGGAGGAGGAGGAGGAGGAGGAGGAGGAGGCGGGAGGCGGGAGGCGGGAGGCGGGAGGCGGGAGGAGGAGGAGGAGGAGGAGGAGGAGGAGGCGAAGGAGGCGGAGGAGGCGGAGGAGGCGGAGGAAGCGGGAGGAGGGAGGAGGAGGAGGAGGAGGAGGCGGAGGAGGAGGAGGAGGAGGAGGAGGCGGAGGAGGAGGAGGAGGAGGAGGAGGGGTGCCAAGCGCAAGCACACGGACCGACGGCGTCGCGTCGCGCGCAAAGGCCGACGGGCCGCGCACCGAGGGCCGCTCTTTGTCCACGGTCGGGAGCGGTTGCCTAGCTCGGCGCGCCGCCGGTTCTGGCCCACAACGCTTCGGCGCGACACGCTGCCAACGTCGCAACTCCAAGGCGCCAACGCCCCGCGCCCGTCCCGAGCCTACCGCCCCGCGGAGCGGAGCGTCACGCTGCCTGCTCGCAGGTTGTATGTCGTGTCGTCGGGGCCTCCGCCGCGACGCGTTGTGCAGAAGCTCTTGGGCCAAGTCCGCTCAGAATCGGCCGTGGGCCCTCACGTGACGCAGCCAGCGTGGTCACCCTTGCGTCTAGCCAAAGCGCGCGCCGCCAGCGGCGCGCAGGCAGGCGGCAGCGTCTGTGCCAGGGCCGCCACGCCGCGCGCGCCGCCTCCCCGCTGGGGCGCCTCTCGCGCGGGCGCCACGCGCGCGCGGGGAGAGGCCGAAAGGCGCACGAGCCGGCGCGGCGCGCCGCTGCCGTGCCGAAGCCATCGTCGTCGTCTTCGACGACGACGACGACGACGACGACGACGACGACGACGACGACGACGGCGACGGCGACGGCGACGGCGACGGCGATGACGACGGCGACGACGGCGACGGCGGCGATGGCGGCGGCGGCGGCGGCGGCGGCAGCGGAGACGACGTCGACGGGCGGCGCTTCCCGGCGCCGAGCGGCGCCGCGCAGTGCCCTCAAGACTTCCCCGCTCCTCTGGCTCGAGGTCCCTGGCCCGAGGCCTCCAGACGTTCTGGGAGCTCTTGGCCTTCGGTTGACGGCGGCGATGGCGGCGGCGGCGGCGACGGCGGCGACGGCGACGACGGCGACGGCGGCGATGGCGGCGGCGGCGACGGCGGCGGCGGCGGCGACGGCGTGGCCTCCTCGGGGCCTCCCAGGGTCCCCTCGTGGCCTCGGCAGGGTGCGTCTCGAGACTCTGGCTGGATCTGGTCGGAGAGCATCCTGGGAGAGGTCCGAAGGTCGGCTCTGAGTGGGCTACGCGTAAGGATGCCCCTTCTCCAGGGGGACTTCTGATGCGGGCTGCCGTGCACGCTTGGATTGGTTCCCCCGCGACACCCGAAGCCGCGCGCCCAGGATGACTCTTGCCCAGGGTCACTATTGGGCGCAGCCGGATGGAAGACGACGACGATGACGACGACGACGACGACGACGACGACGACGACGACGACGACGAGGACGAGGACGAGGACGAGGACGGCAATGCCGAGGAGGTGGATCATGATATGTTTTGGCGCTTGGGGTGGACCTAAAAGCTGGACTCTGCCCCGAAGGTCTGGCCAGAGCGCACAGGCAGGAGAGGCCCCACGGTCAGGTCTTATCTTGAGATCCAACGTTCAGGAGGGGGTAATTAGCCTGGCGAAGGACCCAACCATATGAAGTTGTGAGTACCTCCGTCATCCGCCAGGTCTTGATCAGGAAGCAACGCCGAGACCTTCCCCCCTCAAACTCCCCCCAGTTGATAACATTTCCCTCCGGGTCCGCACCAACGTCCATCGCGCGACTCTTCCAGTCCAAGCGCGCTTCCCGTCATCCGCCAGGTCCCGATCAAGGGGGGACCCCGTCACCACTCCCCCCCTGGACCCCCCCGCTTAATAAATACTTTCCCCTCCGCTCCAGGGTGCAACGTCCATCGCGCGACTCTTCGAGTCTAAGCGCGCTTCCCGTCATCCCGCTACCACTCCCCCCGTGGACCCCACCCACTTGACAAATAGATTCCCCTCCAAGCCTGGGTGCGACGTCCATCGCGCGACTCGTCGAGCCTATGCGCGCTTCCAGTCATCCGCCAGGGTCTGACCACGGAGGTACCCCGAGCCCTTCTCCCCTCAGACTCCCCCCAGTTGATATTTCCCTCTGGGAAAAAACCAGCGTCCATCGCGCGACACTTCGAGTCTATGCGCGCCTCCCGTCATCCGCCAGGGTCTGACCACGGAGGTACCCCGAGCCCTTCTCCCCTCAGACTCCCCCCAGTTGATAATATGTCCTTCCCGGCCGAAACCAACGTCCATCGCGCGACACTTCGAGTCGATGCGCGCTTCCCGTCATCCGCCAGGGTCTGACCACGGAGGTATCCCGAGCCCGTCTGCCCTCAGACCCCCTCTATTGATAATATTTCCCTCTGGGGCGAAACCAACGTCCATCGCGCGACTCTTCGAGTCTAAGCGCGCTTCCCGTCATCCACTAACGAATGATCAAATGCGGCCTGCCACCCTATATTAGTAAGAATTGTATTCGATACGATGCAGATTCAGTGAGAACGTCCAGCTCGCTTCTCGTACCTCGAAGACGCCTCCCGTCATCCGAGAAATTCGCGCGAACCTCCGAAAGTTTATGATTATGCTGTTTTTCGACTTCGAGCCAGTGGCCTGGAATCGGCCGATACCCAGCGACCTGCGCGATCAGAGAGCCGCGCTCGTTCGAGGCTGACTTGCCCACGAAGTGCCAGAATTGACGCGATTATGGATGCCCAGACATGATCGCGTCGAGGAAAAAAGCACGACGGACTTCCCTCGCCAGGCCCCAGGACCGTCAAGAAACGACTCGGGATGAAGCTGGTCCCTGGGAATGTGTCGCGATTTCCAGGGGGCATTGAAAAAAGCAAGACATCGAACGTCTGGGTCCCCAGACTCTCCTCCAGGTGTCCTCCCCGGCCAGCTCTTCGAGTTGCGTCGAGCCGTGGCAACGACTAATTCCCAGAGACGCCCGAACAACAATGTCTTGAGGAGCGAAGACGACCCAAAGGTCCGACGTGGTAATCTTTTCCCGTCGCGAACCCTCAGAGGTCCCGACCCATCCCAACCCATCCCTTACTGGGGACCGGCTTCTCCACCCCAGTCGTTTCTGTTGCGGCCCCCGTAGCATGGCAGGGGTTCCCAGAGGCCGAAGACGACAAAAAAAATGGCCCGTCGTGACTGCTCCGAGACGCGAGCCTTGCTTTAAGTCGGGCCTGTCCCCCTGCAGGGGGATCATTTTTTTGATTGTTTTTTGCCTTTTTGGGGTATTGTTGGGGTATGTTTTATTTTTCGTCGAAAATCCCCCTGTAGGGGGACACGCCCGACATAAGCCTTCTCCCCCGCTCCCTCATCGCGCCCGCCAGTCTGGCCCACCCCCCATCCCCGGGCGTCTGGCGGCCACTCGGGACGATTGGGGCACCGAGGAGAAGGACGGCGCAAGGCAAAGGGAGGCAGGCCTCGCACCTCGGGCCTCGACTGGCCACGCGCAGGAAGGGGGGATGCGGGGAGGGGCGAGGGCTTCTTCGAAGCACTCTGCTTCTTAGAGGGCGCGGGCCTGAGATGTAGATGGAGGAGGAGGAGGAGGAGGAGGAGGAGGAGGAGGGCTAGGAGGAGAGAGGAGGAGGAGGAGGAGGAGGAGGAGGAGGAGGAGGAGAAGGGGGTGGAGGAGCAGGAGGAGCGGGAGGAGGAAAGAGGACAGGAGGAGAAGGACAGGAGGAGAAGGATAAGGAGAGAAGAAGGAGAAGGAGGAGGAGGAAAATTTGGAGAAGGCGGGGAGGAAGTGGAGGAGGAGGAGGAGGAGGAGGAGGAGGAGAAGGAGGAGGAGGAGGAGGAGGAGGGGGGGAGGAGGAGCAGGAGGAGGAGGAGAGAAGGAGGGGAGGGGGAGGAGGAGGAGGAGGAGGAGGAGGAGGAGGAGGAGGAGGAGGAGGAGGAGGAGAGGAGGAGGAGGAGGAGCAGGGGAGCAGGAGGAGGAGGAGGAAGAGGAGGAGGAGGAGGAGGAAGAAGTAGAGGAGGAGGAGGACGACGACGACGACGACAAGGCGCAGGGAGACCTCGAGATCCTCTGCATCCGGCGCCCGCCCCTCGGCCCACGAGCGCCCCCCGCGGGCGCGGCGGCAGCGGGGGCGCCGACCGCGGCCGCCCGCCCGGGCGGCGAGGGGCGGCCGGCCAATGCCGGCCGCCGCCGCCGCCGCCGGCGGGCCTCACGAAAGAGGTCGCCACGAGTCGTCAGCCACGAATCTCGGGTCCTCCTTCTCCTTATCCTCCTCCTTCTCGTCCTCCTCCTCCTCCTCCTCCTCCTCCTCCTCTCCTCCTCCTCCTCCTCTCCTCCTCCTCCTCCTCCTCCTCCTCCTCCTCCTCCTCCTCCTCCTCCTCCTCCTCCTCCTCTTCCTCCTCCTCCTGCAACTTGGCGGCTTGGAAAGCGAGCAGCACAAAATTAGATCAATTCTGCAGCAGGAGCACGATCTCGAAAGACCGAAACCGCGGAAATGAGACCAGCGCTGCAGCGGGAGCACGATTGGGAAGGATTGGAACACTGCTACAGCAGGAGCACGACTTGGAAGAACCGAAACAATGAAATGAGGTCAGCGCTGCAGCGGGCACATGGTTTGAAAGGACTGAGAACGGAAAAAATGAGCCCACGCTGTAGCGGGCGCGCCATTATGACAGGACAGAAAATGTAAAGATCGAAAAGAAAACAGATATTCATTTTCAAATCGGCGGCATCCCGTATGTAAAAAGCCATACGCGGAGAAGGCCAGGACACCTCTGCAGCGTCTTCGGGGGAAAGAGGAGAGTGGTATTCATATGATGGAAGAAATGTAGAGAAGGGGAAGGGGGGCGGGCAGGAAACCCCGCGCAAGTAGTAAAATCCCCTGAACAATTCTCTGAGAGCTAAGATGGCTTCAGACTAGAAGCCGGCAGCACAGGGTGGCCCGTCAGCTCTTTCCAGCGCCCGTCAAGCAGCGCCACAGCGCCTTGCTTGAGCCAGCAGCTTGTCCCGAGAGCGTTTTCCGACTCGTTCCCAATACGCGTGCCGGAAGCTTTTCCACAGCTCCTTAGAAGTTCCCGCGAAGTCTTTTTTACGAGCTTGCAAGCTCCCCAGATATCTGTTCCAGCGTTTTTGCAAGCATCTTGCAGAGGCGTTTTGAGGCAATTTGGATTGCATCGCTGTCCCAGACCCCTGACGTCGTGATTTTTCACAACGTCGACCCCTAGAGGTCTGGACCCCTTCCTGGGGACGGGCTTTTCATCCTGAGTCGTTTTCTGACGGTCCCGAGGCCCAGTGAGGGCCCCCCGAGGCCGAAAATAGCGAAAAATTTCCTGTCACGATTTTTCCACGACGCGAGGAGCGGTCTGGGGAGGCGTTTCAGGCTCTTTGAACTGCCTCGCTATCCGGGTTTGGGACGCCACAAGTGGCTCGAGTCTGAAGTAACGCGCCCTTTTCCTGTCGAGGCTCTCTCTTCGATGATCGTTTGGGGGACCTTTCTGGGGCCTACCTAATGGATCTGTGCGACTCCAGTTCGATTCAAGTTCACTTCTCCTTCTCACTTCCCCCCCTCGCTCGCCGCCGAATTGGTTTTTGGGCCATAACTCGGGTCTCCGGCCCCCGTTCGGGACGATCCGGGCACCCCCGGAACGCCCTCGGCGAGAAGCAGTTGATGGCAAGCATCCCGAGGCTAGAAAGCCGCCGAGAACCAACGAGAGCGTCCGAAAACCTCGAACCTCGAACCTCGAACCC